ACACGGTTCCGGCCCAGTGTATCTGTCCAAACGGATCTCCCTCTATGTCCCACCCCGGAGCCTAAGATCTTCTGGAGAGGTCCTGCTCTCGACCCCGCCTCTATCACAGGTGAGATTGGCGGGGACGAGAAGCAGGGCCTTTTCGGTGGTGGCCCCCCACCTGTGGAATTCACTCCCCGGGGAAATTAGATCTGCAACATCGCTCCTTTCTTTTAGGAAAAAACTAAAAACATGGATCTGGGACCAGGCATTTGGGCAGGCGGGCAAATAAAGAAAGAACTTTACTGATGGCTAGGAAATGACTAACGGACTGGACATGAGGAACTCTGGAAACGAAACGCTGATTATAAGAATGATTTTGTATGATATTTTACATAATGTGTTATGCACCGGTTGCTGATGTTTTAACTGTGATGATCGTTTTAATTATATTTTTGTATATTTGTTCTTTGTATACTATGTGTAATGTATAAAGGCATCGAATTCTGCCTTCTTTGTAAGCCGCCCTGAGTCCCCCTCCGGGGGTTGAGAAGGGCGGGGTAAAAGTACCAGAAATAAATAAATAAATAAATAAATAAATAAATAATAATAATAATATAAAATAATACTTTTGTCGATGACTTTGAGTCCTGTTATGGGGAGAAAGGTGGGGTGCAGATTAATAATAATAATAATAATAATAATAATAATAATAATAATATAAATAATAATATAATAATATAAAATAATATTTTCATCGATGGCTTTGAGTCCTGTTATGGGGAGAAAGGTGGGGTGCATATTAATAATAATAATAATAATAATAATATAAATAATAATATAAAATAATATTTTCATCGATGGCTTTGAGTCCTGTTATGGGGAGAAAGGTGGGGTGCAAATTATTATTATTAATAATAATAATAATATAAAAAATACTTTTGTCAATGACTTTGAGTCCTGTTATGGGGAGAAAGGTGGGGTGCAAATGAGTAATAATAATAATATTTTATTATTATTATTGTTATATTATATTATTAATAATAATATAAAATAATAATTAATAATAAATAAATTAAATTAAATTATAAATAATATTAAATAATAATGCTCATAATATAATTATAATGTTGTTGCAACAAGACAACAACATATTTGGTTTAGGCATGTGTTAGTGAAACACAGGTGCAGGGTCATGCAATGGGAAGGGAACCCCAAAGGACATCTAGTCCATCCCAATTCTGCAGGAAATACACAGCCAAAGCATCTCCAGAAAAGGTCAAACCAGGGCAAATAGAGTGTCGCCGAGCTACAAATCCCAGGGTTCCACAGCACCAAGCGCCGGCTGCGCAAGTGGCATTAAACTGGATTAATTCTGCAGTGTAGACGCACCCAATGGGGCCTTTTTCTTCCTTCCCCTCACTTTCCCTGCTATGCCTTTAAGACATACAGGCCTTGCTGTAATTAACTATCTCCAGATGCAAAAGAGAAGCCAATTAATTTTCTTTGTTCTTGGCTTGAGGGCAGGGAGCAGGAAAACAGTTTCCAAGAAGCACTTTTGTGTTTATGGCAGGCAAAAAGGATTTGGGAAAGGGATCCAACCTGACAGCCCTAATAAGGTGCAAACAGTACACCTTTTTTTGGCGGGGGGGGGGGGGGACTACAAATCCCAACATCCTCATTGGCTGCAAGGAAGGAGAGTTTGCTTCTTTTGCACCAAACTTCCAGGAGGAATGCTTGCAAGAAGAGCATTGCAAATGCACAAAGCCAACAGCTGGCATGGGGTTTTGCACCCACTTTTGCACCCAGTTGGAGGCACGACAAGTGTCGTGTGCCTCCAACTGGGTGCAAAAGTGGGTGCAAAACCCCATGCCAGCTGTTGGCTTTGTGCATTTGCAATGCTCTTCTTGCAAGCATTCTTCCTGGAAGGCAAAGGAAACAAGTCTGGGGCTTTTTTTTTTTTTGGCTCTGAGTTGCATCTCTGTATGTGACAGGCCTGCATTCCTAAGGTTATTAATAGAGAACCCAGCCGGGTGGGGATTCCCAGGCAGTCTGTAGAGATGGAAGGGAACCCCAGAGGGCATCTAGTCCACCCCTTGTGTCATTAAGAGAGACGCAACCAAAGCCCTCCCAACAGATGGCCATCCAACCCTCCTTTCAAAAGCTCCGCTAAACTCCCAGCCAGTCTATATTCTTGCTAGAGTTGGAAGGGACACCCAAAGGGCATCTAGTCCACCCTTTCTGCCATTAAGAGAGGCACAGTCAAAGCCCTCCCAGCAGATGGCCGTTCAGCCTATGAAAGCTTATGCTTCTATGTTCTCTCTGTTGGCCTCTAAGATACTACCAGATCCTTTCATCCATTCTTCCATTTGAAGATGCTTACAAGAACAACATGCACTTAAGTCTTCCATGTGTTTAATATTGATTAC